GAATATCTCCCACTCATGTACCATTGATTTTCCTTCAAGTAGCTGTATCCAATCCACCTTTGGCAGATTACCTCAGCCTCATAAAATTTGGAACTTCGAATTTTTTTTCCACATTGATGCTAAATCTAACTGTCTTGTGGTCGCTGTCCCCAAAATGGCCACCTACCACAACTTCATTCACTTGCCAACACCATTTCCGAAAACTAAAGCAAGAAATGTTACATGCCAGCTAAAAAGTTTCCTTGAATGCAGTTTGACAATATTCTGTAAAAACCGAAAGAACTGCGGGTGCTGTGGATCAGGAACAAAAACAAAATTGCTGGAAAAGCTCAGCAGATCTGGCAACATCTGTGAAGAAAAAAACAGAGTTAACGTTTCCGGTCCGTTTCGGACCCTCAGAAAGGGTCACCGGACCCGCAACATTAACTCTCTTTGTTTTCTTCACAGATGCTGCCAGACCTGCTGAGCTCTTCCAGCAACTTTGTTTTTGTTGTTATGTTGACAATATTCTGTTTGTGTCTTGCACACTGCTCGTATCCCAGTTCATTTTAAGGTAATTTAAACTGCCAGTTGTGATTGCTTTCGCACTCATCAGTTTGCCTACATATTTGCTCCCCCATCTTCTGCTCGTTGTTTGGAGTCTACAATACACCCCCTAGCAGTATGGCTGCCTTGTTTTAAATTGAGCTCAACTTGCATGGCCTCATCTGATGATTCATTTAGTGTATCATTCCTCCTGACAGCTGTAATTGATTCTTCAGCTAATATTGCAACAGGGCCCCTTTTTTAAATTTGCTATACTCTTTGGATTTATATACATATTAACACTGTCAAGCTCCTGCACTGCACATTTTTTAACCTTTGCTTTTCTCATCTGTCATAGAAAATTTATTGGATGACTGTCTCCCAGCCGGTGCTCAGAATTTGCCCCAAAGATCCTAGGCCTTCTCCACCCTGCCAATCTAGTTTAAACCCTTCCCAGCAGTACTAGCTAATATTGTTAAGGGTATTCATCCTGGTCCTGCTCTGGAGGTAGACCATCTGGCTCATCTTCCCCAGAAGATGCCCTAGCACCTGAGAATTCTGATGCCTGCCTTCTTATATCAACTTTTCAGTCTAGAGTTCAATTGCCTAATTCTCCTAATTCTATGCTCATTAGCATGTGGAACTTACAGTAATCCTGAGATTACTGCTTTAGAGGTCATTTTACAATCTTCTTTCTAGCTCCCTAAAATCTGCTTTCAGGGCACCTTGCCCTCTCCTACCTAAATCACTGGCATCAATGTGGGCCATGACCTCCAGCTGTTCACGATTCCCCAGGAGGGCGGGGGGGGGGGGGGGAGCGAAATTAACGAGTGACTCTGAAAAACAGAAAAAAAAACCAAAAGGTTAAATAGTCTACAGCACAGGAGTTTGACAGCATTAAAAGATGTATACAGGGGTCCATGATTTACGAATGTGATCTCATACAAAGCTGAAATTTTAAAGATCTGACATACAAACATTTCCTATATTAATGAATGGGTCCTTTATATTGTCCTGCATTGTGTTCCAACTTGCATACAAATTAACTTGTGAACAGATTCAAGAATGGAATCTGTTTGCAACCCAGAGATTTGTGTATATTAATATCTCGCTATTGTTCTGCAACATCATTGGGCCTGGCACTATGGAGGCAACATACCATTCTGGAATCACGTCTAGAGGCATCTAATTGGTTACCCAACCATAAATCCTGTCTCATTACTGTTCTTCTTTTCACTGTCTTCCCCTGTTGTACAGCAAAGCTGACACAAACCTGGATCTGACTGCACTCTTCTGAGCAAATAACTCCCTCAATAGTATCCAAAAGGGGAAACCGTTTAGTAAGCAGGACCCAAGGGAACTCCTGCAAGACCTGCCTGATTTTCTTGGACTGTCTAATGGTTACCCATTCCCTTTCTGCCTCCAAGCTGCTAAACTCTGACAATGACCACTTCTATCAACTTCCTTTCCACATGGCTCTCGGCCTTGTGGATCCACCACAGCTTGAACTTTAACGTCCAGAGTTCCATGTGGTCGTCTGAGTTTTCAAAAGCATCCATGACTTCTCATTTTTTATGCAGCATCCAATTGGCCTACTGAGCTGCCCTATCAAGTCTTAACTTCACTTCATTTACATGATTTTTCCTTTGGTTTGCTTATAATAGCTTCATTTCAGTTAGTCTTAGTTTAATAATACCTACAAAAATTAGTAAACCTTATTAAATCCAAATAATATTTGAAACACTATGGTTATTGCAATCATCCTTGTTCAAAGCATCTCTTTCCTCCAAGCACCAAATAACAGTCTATTATTCAGTCTATATCTCAATCAAGCTAGTCTCCTGACCGTGTGATTTGAAAAACATGCCTCTTCTATAAAGTTTCTGATGAACCGCCAGTTAGTTTAGGTTCCTACTTCAGCAAACAACAAATGAACCAAGTGCTTTCAGCTGATTGACAGATATCTGTTATTACCAAGCAGTTCCCGACTTAAACAAGGCATCCAACGTGACTTGAAGGTCATTCGTTCTAAGTCAAGGAAATCGATACTTAAAACTAAAACTTACCCGAACTTACTGGTAGAGAAGGGAGGAATACTGGATATGTTCAAAATATAGTCTGACAATTACTTAAGGTTAACAGGTCACCCAGTCAGGATGAGGTAATCCTGGGTTATGGAGGGAAGGGGGGGAAAATGCAGAGGCTACGATTACAATCGGTGAATGCTCTTTGGCTTTGTGATTAGTGTCATATATTGGAAGACTGCCATCACGTCTGCTGAAAAGCAAGAGGGGAGAAGGGATAAACCCATTGACAGCAGGACAGTGAAAATGATTAGGGACCATTATCGAGGTCAAGATCAGTTCTGACTTTGAGAATAGTAAGCACAATTTGTTGAAGGACGATCATGTCTGACTAACTTGAGATGAAGTACCAGGGTTGACGGAGCAAGTGGGATAGATATATATATATGGACTTCCAAAATGTCACATGATAAAGTACCATGCAACTGGTTGATTGAGAAAACAGAAGTTGACATGGTATAAAAAGGAATTGAGAAGATTTGGACATATAAAAGTGGCCAAAGGATAGAAGAGTAGTGACAAAAAGATGCATTTCTGACTTAAGTGCAAGGTAGGGTCTCTAAGAGTCATAATTAGGTTCATTGTTTTTCACTTTGCAAGCACGGACATAGACCTTCAGTACAGCATTAAGTATTGAAGTTTGTGAATGATTCAGCTTGGCAATGTAGTAAGTCATGAGCAGGGTAGCAACAGACTTCAGGGGAACATACTTGTAAAAAGGACAAACACATCCCAGCTTATTTTATTCTGAATAGTGAAGTGATGCCTGTAACTGCAGATCACCAACCTTATTTACCATGCTGTGTGAATTAATGCAGGCAGACTCTAAACCCTCAGTCTTTCCTTTTTATTTTCATCTTAAATTACTCTCAATACTAATGTAGTTTGCCTCTCTCAAGTCCATTGGGCACCTTGCACTATCCTGGTTCCTCTCCCATTGCCAAACTGACATCTGACTCATTGAAGTACGGAGGAATGAGGATGCAGTAGCAACTAAATAATTTGTTTGCAGGACTGTGTGCAAAGTCCAAACAGTAAGTCAAAATGCTGACATAATGTTGGGCTTAATATTGAGAGGAATGGAATGTGTGGGGGAGAAAAGTTGCGAAGCACATGCGTGCAGCAAGTCAAAATGCTGACATTGAGGATTATGGAGTCAGATTACAGAGAAGATACAACAGCATGGTAGAACAGTATTGTCAAGTTACCTGGTCTCCTCCTACTATGTGCACCCATTTCAAAAACTCAAGAAGTTTAAAAAAAACTGGAGAGACTTGGAAGAGTAAACCTTCAATGCCGAACTCAAGATATTACAGTTCGAGGAGGGTAACCAAGCTTTAACCACATCTCTCCCAAGAACGGATTGCCATACTGGACTTCAAACATTGCTCACATGATTTTAGGGCACATCTATACTCCAATTTCAGTCAATTACAGCAGCAACTAATTCAGCTGCACGAGCATTTGATACTGTCATAATTTGTTGTTGATATGCTAAACACAGAAGGAAGATTTATAATAAATGAGAAATAAACCTGCATATACATAATCATTTTTTACAGCCTTAGAACACTCCAATGTCAAATGCAAAACACACTGCAGAGATCGAGAAAGAGGGAAAGGAGGAGTAGATTGGAAAGCGGTAGGTAATTTATTACCTTGGAGGAGCGCAACACCCATGGTAGCTGTTTAAGAATGCACACTTGTGTAAGATGAGCTGGAGAGTAGCCCCTTTCTACAACATAGAATGATTGAGGAGCAGAAAGTCTGAGCAGTCTGCAGATACAAGCATCACCACCCCTAGAGATCCAACAAAGATATGGTAAAAATATCCCACCCTTAGTAGTCAAACCATGCAAACATGAAGGCCCAAATATCTATGTCTTAACTGTGCCAACTTACCTTAACTGGGGTGACAGTAAGATGCATTGCTGTTCGCCTTGGGTAAGATGGGTGGAGATCAACTTGCATTTCAATTATTTATTGCTTCTACCCCGTTCCCCTCCCAATGGGAAGTAAATTGGTAAACATTCAATAAATACAATCGTAATAGATGATTTGTCAAACATGGCCAAATAAACCATTCCACACATTCATATCTATGTACTCAGATGAGGGAATAAAGAGCTGCAGTGCTGACACCCATGCAGGTAAGAAACAGGCAAAAACCAGTTAAAAATTACACAATATGCACGCATGTACATTAAATGCAACCTTCGACAGAACACAAGAGAAAAAGAGCTGTTGGACATAAAAGGCTTAAAAGAACTAGGCTTCAAACACCAGGCTGTCCAAGAGAAGACAAACTCTCCATCATCTTGCAGTTTTTAAGGGAGGTGAATTCAGGCTGCAAGCTGGTGCCTCTACAGTGTACACAGCACTCATTCAGGAGTTTTTATTTATTTATTTATTAAACTGACCTGCAATCTAATGCAACAGCTCCATCAGTACAATACAACACAATACAGACCCATTTCTCTTTTAAATATATATCTGCAATTTTACATTATAAATGTACATACAAATGAGAGGTACCTTTTAATTGCAATGATTAAAAAATATTTACCTGGAATGTGATTAAAAATATGTACCAGAAGCTACACAATTTTAATACATTTGTTTGTATATAAAACACAAGTGCACAAAGTAACCCTCAAAATCATTTATCTGAAACCTGATGATTGCTTCCTGATTCAGAAGCTTCTAGATATACTGGGAAAACAACCAAGCGTTTTGAATAAGAACTAATCTGATTTTGGCTGAATAATTGGCACTTACATTTCTTCCTAGACTCTTTGGTAAAACAGAATTTTATAAATTACTTCTGCTGTATTCAAAAAGTATGTAATCTTGGACAGTGTGCTTTTGCCTGCAATATTTCAATATTGCTTGCATTAAAAGAGAAGACAGAGGTACCAAACAAAGAGAAACAGAATCAGATTGAGAGAAAAGGAGAGACAAGAAAGCTAAATGGAAGTGCCTCATCACATTCTAGTTCTGTTTTCAGCTGTGACACTCACGATCAGCTGTCACGTGTGATCTGTGTTTTTGTTTTTTCTCAGTTTCCATCCCTCCTGTCTGTTGCTGGGCTCAGCTTCTTGCACCTCATCTAGTTAGCCATTCTTTAGTGACGCTGTTTGACTGTGGGACTTTGCTGCAAAGATTTCATCCTCGCACTCACTGCAAAGCAGTCAGGAGATGAAAAGCCCGGTGAATTTCTCACTTCCTTTCTGGAGATGTCAGGCTGATTATAGCAATGCCACTCCATGTGCCTGCCCAAAGCCAGCTACCTCTACACGAAGTAGAGATGGAACCTGCGACTTCTCAGTTTGTGTCAGAACCTGTCTTGGTTGCACCAATACCCATGAAAGACAAGGAGCAGCTATGCATGTTTGCAATTTGCGTGCCATAGGTGTACATTCAACATTCTGCAGAAAATCCGATCAAAAAGATGCAAGGTTTGATCATGGTTTACGCACCTGCCCTAAACAAGTAGCACACTGCATGCATGATGCAAAGATGGCACAAGTCTTCAGAGAAGCAAATCAGGCAGCAAGTGACCGTCTTAACTGATCACCAAGTGCCACTTCTCCAGAAACATCCACATGTTTGATCGTCTGAGGGTTTAAGTCAGCAATGACTTTAGACAATAACTGTTATTCCCCTTGTTGGGAGGACTCAGCAAGAGATGCAGGGACACAAGTCAAGAATCAATGCAGTGTTCCAGCCCTCTCTCTGACCCACGTTACTGCAGAAATGTTGAATCCACCTTCTCTCCCTCCCTCTCCATTATATCTACCTCTTTGTAACTAGCAGCCCACCAAAACCACTCAAATTAAACTGGAACTCTTATTGCGGCAGGGTTTCCTTTTTCAGAACAATTCAGTAATGGCAGTCAGAGAAACAGCTGTCAAAAGCTCACTGGAAATGAGACGATAAAGTAAGTCTACAAAACTAATGCTATGCATGACCAGCCTGAGGCATTAATGAACTCTAGGTCCAGACTCAGGCCATTTCTAATTTAAAAGACTGAATTTGAATTCATGCAACAGGGGCTCTTCTCCTTCAAGTAAGAGACAGGGGAGATAGGAAACGCTCTGAGTTGGGTAGTTAATAACTTGGCTAATTTCAGAGTTCATTTCACTTGCTCCGACACACCAGGTTTGTCAAATTCAAATTCACACCTTACCCCGCTTAGGTGGAAACATGTTGACCACTTGGCTGCATCCACTGTAGCATAATCCTTCTGCTATAATTCTGCCAGACCATCCATCACTTTTTATCATCCTTTTGGGTGTCGCTAACTGGGCCAGCATATCGTGCCCACCTTTAACTGACCTTGAGAAGGTGGTGATGAGCTAGCCTTCTTGAACCACTGCAGTCCTGTTAGGGAGAGAGGTCCAGGATTTGACCCAGTGACATTGAAGGAACAATGATACAGTGCCAGTTCAGGATGGCCAGTTGCTTGGAGGAGAAACTCACAGATTGTGATGCTCCCACATATCTGTTTCCTTGTCATTCTAGATTGTAGAGGTCGTGGGTTTGTAAGGTGTTGTCTAGGGAACTTGGTGAATTTCTGTAGTGCATCCTGCAGGTGATACACACTGCTGCTACTGAGCATCTGAGGTGGAAGGAGCCAATGGTCGTGGAAGTGGTACCAATGAAGCAAATTGTTTTGTCCTGGATGGTGTCAAGATTTGAGTGTTGCTGAAGCAAGTGGGGAGTATTCCAACACACTCCTGACTTGTGCCTTGTCGATGGTGGAGAGGCTTTCGGGAGTCAGGAAGCAAGGTACTCATTGCAGAATACCAAGCCTGACCTGTTGTAGTCACAGTACTTAAGTCATGAGCCCAGTTCAGTTTCTGGTCAATGGTAAGCCACAAGCCAATATTTGAGAGTGTTCAGCAACGGCAACGGTGTGGTAACTATCAACTGTGTGGCACAAATATCACTTTACACTTAGCAATTCAAGCCCAACTTTAACTGCAGAACACGGCAGTGTGCTTTTGTTGGCTTCTCCGAGTGATGGATCAATACGCTGTAGTATTCAGAAATGCAAACCAGGTACCCTGAAGTCCAAATACGTAGAGCCGAGTAGTTCCAGGATCTTCTTTCAAACGACAGAGTTCAGGATTCAGCATTTGATGAAAACAGTCACTCCAACAGCATCGTGTCACACATGCTCTCTATATAATGGAATAGGTGAATGCAAGTTTAGATAGCTTGTCAGTTCATGTTCCACTCTAGAGACTCCAGCCTGATGATTTCAAACAATACTTCAATACAGCAGGAAAGAAGCACTGCACCTTTGCAGCTGTCGTCAAACTGAGGCACCCATCCATTCTCAAGTTGATGCAAAACATCTTCGGTGTAATTCTGAAGATCTGGGAGCTCTCTCTCTTATGTCCAGGTCAAGTTTTATCCCTCAAAAAAGTATGCTCATTGTCACTTCATGTTTTTGCCAGATATTTCTGCACATGGAACAGCGACTACGCTTCAAAGGTGCCTCACAGCCCATGAAGCTTTTTGAAGTGCCTTTGAGGTGACTATTTAAATGCAATCTTCTTCCTTCCTAGGGGAGCCTCCAAGTTGATTCACCTTCCCTTTCCAGATACCAGCGATGCTGAGAACAGTACCAACTCTGAAGGCTTGCACCAACCCACAGTCAGACATAAGATGAATAAAGACTCAGAGGGCTTGGAGCAGGGAGTCTAGTCAACAGAAGGTTTAACACAACTAGTAATTTTCAAAGAGTGCTTGTTAAGGGATAACGTGTGCTAATCTTTCAGCTCCATCCAAAAAGAACACAAGAAACAGCCTAATTCCAGATTACAGAATGGAATGAACCCGTGGCCCAAAGACACTCTCATTCTTGACCTTTCCTTATTTCTTTGTCTCTCAATAATTCATTGGTAAGCATGAAGAATTTCAAACCAGCTGAATGAGGCATTAGGTTCTGGACAGAAAGTGATTCAATATGAAAGCACTGGTTGGCATATGTATACTGCCTGGTCAACGGTAAACAGCCTCTCCTGCAAGGATTGTGCAGAAATCTTAGCGTCTCAAAGCTGATTGTTAAAACATTTTCCCATCTGGTTCCCTGAATGCATCGGTTCTTATGGTACTTGGTCCCCCCTTTGTACTTAGTGTAAGGATCCACTCTGAGCAACCCTGAAGAGAGCATCACCTGACTACAAAGGATATACTGCAGAATAGAGCTCTCCGTCTTTAGCTCAATAATATCTATTGTTCCTAAGATTAGCAGAGTTGAGGAGTCCATAAGCGTCTGTTGGCCACTTGCAGTTCAATCCACATTATTAAAATTTGATCAGGTAACCACATATCACAAACTACACAATGATCCAGGCTGACAAGCCATTGTAGTACTGCAGGCAGAGCTTCAAAATTGGACATCCTAGCTTGTGGATGAAACAATTACTGCGGCTCCTGTTCTCTCAGGTGGGATGTCAAAGATCTCTCAGCAGTACTTCAAAAAAAGGGAGAATATACCCCGCCTTCCACTCGCAGCCAAAACTCAACAATTATTGCCCAACCAACTTCAAAGCAGATTATCCAGTCCTTTGCACATTACGGCTCGTAGGATCTTGCTGAGTGAGCATCGGTCTGCTGCTTTCCAGCATTACACCAGTGACTATGCTTCAAAAGCACTTTGATAGGTGTAAAGCACTTTCACATATCCTGAGATAGTAAAAATCCCTGCAGAAATGAAAGACTTTCTTTCCTTCTTAAATGAAGACTTTGCATGGGCTGAAAGACTTGCAAGCTGTCAACCAGAAACTCAAGACAGAATTCATGAACCAGGGTTTTACTATAAATAGTATTCCTCTTAGTGTGGGGGTTAAAAACAATTTAAAGACAAAAGAACTGTGGTATATTCACATTCAATATTGCTTGAACACATCTGCATTCCGTAGTCTTCAAGTAACTGCTTTAGACCTCATCGTCCACGGGAGAAAAGTGATGATAAACCTTTTTGTCTGTTATACTGCAATCCTTCCAAGTCTAAAAATCACAGAAAGAGTTCTATCTGAGGAATTAGTCACGGTTAGTTGTCTTAGCATTATATACGCCACCGTCTTTTCATGGTGCACAAAGTCTACAAAAATAAGAGAGTCCTTTCTCCAACCCATCCCAAACCCACTTTGCAACAAATTACAGTTTGTCCAGCAAATGGATGGCCATAGCTCCAGCCAGGCACTAGCACAGTACATTCGCAGCTTACTGAAGTGGTGTGGCTTTGGACACAGAAGTCAAATACCCTCGCACATTCTCTTAGGCTAGACACCATCATCCCTCTCTGGACTGTCTTCTTCGCTTTGTGGTTTACCTCTGCTGGTACCTGACAACAATAATTAGGGGAAAAAGAAAAGCAAAAGAAAAGTCAACCTTTTGTCAAAGATAACCCATGTGAGATCTGAGACGTCATGCAGTTTGTCCGACAGTGACTCATTGCCCAGAGGATAACGGTGGGTAAAAGCAGTGAGCAGGCTCCAGCTCAGATCGTTTCTCTCTATAGCTCCACTTTTCGTTTTTCTCTCTGAAATCCAAATGGCCTATGGGATACACCATGGTTTTCTCTTGATGGAGAGCAAGAGAAAACAAACAGCTCTAACAGATAGCCATCATTCATTTTCAGAACTCGCCAGATGCTCAGCCTGCCTCTCTCACTAGCTAAATTACAAAGGGCAACGGATACAGAGGATGGATGGATGATGAGATTACGAACAAGAAGTTATTGTTATTTTACACTTGGATTTGTTCCTCAAATAAGAGCCAAAATTGTCCCAGTTCAGGTGCCATTGGCCTCACAAATGCCTCTAGTGTTTACACATGCAATTCCCCATCGTGATGTCTCTTCCTTCCAGCACAGCCTCCAGTGGTTGACAACGTCCTCCTAAGTTACCATTTCCATCGTCATCTTGTGTCAAACAAAGACAGTCGTGTAGGGTGACATCTCCCTGCTGAACTGAAAATCTTTCCTCATAATTCCCAACTCCTAAAAGCTGGTTTAGCTTCACCACTGTCTCCCCCACGCCAGAATTGTAGCAACGTCACAGCATTTGAGGCGGCCATTAGGTCAGTCGTGTCTGTGTCGGCTCTCAGCCTAGGTCCCTTCTCTGCCTTTTCCTCCCGAGATGAAATTCTTTCATGTCTCTATTTTAAATGGCTATTCCTTTTTTCTGTAACTATGCCCATGCGTCTGAGGCTTCCCCACTCACGAAAATATTCTCTCAACACCCACCTGGTAAAGCCCCCTCAGAATCTCCTATGTTTCAACAGGTTCACCTCTCACTCTTTTAAATTCTAATGAATAAAGGCCTAACCTATTTAGCCAATCTTCACAAGTCAACCCTTCATTCCAGCCTAGTGAATCTCTTTTGAACAGCCTCCAAACAACGAAGACCAGCACATCAAAAAAAAAACACTCACTTCTGGAGGAGTTTTGATCTTTGAGGAACTTCGATTGACTGCTGGGCATCACTTTCAGTTCAAATGTATCTGGCGACAGTGAAGAATTGTGTATTCTCGAGGCCATAATCGCATTTAAATACTGCAGCCGAGTAACCTGAGGGGAAACAAAACAGAGTCTACAACTGCCCTTCCTTAACAGTGGTGAACAATAGATAGATAGGCAAAATTAGTGATTTGCTTCAATTAATATTCAGAATGCAAACTCCCTTCCAAAAAGATGCAGACTTTATACAGAATTCCAAAACAAAGGGCTCCTCAGTAATGACCCTGCCTCTGAGCCAGAAGGCCTGGTACAAAACCTAGCTATTCCTGTGTGCCATAACACATCTGAACAGGCTGTTTAAGATCATCTAGAATTGTACAACTGGAATCTGTGTAAAATGAGAAAGAGCTGCTCCAGTAGGGGTGTTGCACCAGAAATCTGACTTGTCTCTTTGCAGTTAGATGACAACAGGCCATTTCCATCTCTCCACCCAACTCCACTACATGACTGCAACATTTTCAGCTTTTGCTTCACTTGATATTTTTTTCCCTTCCTTTAGCTTTTCTAGATGCAACCTTACCTTCAGAACTTGAAGGTCATTTAGTGCTCTCACAGTATAATCAGGGCAGTACATGGAAAAGTTTGCACTCTCCCCAGATTCCAGGAAGTCCTTGGAGAATGGGTCTCGCCGACTCCACTTCACATTAGAGGCTGGTGACTGATGAACTGAGAAAAAGAGAGTTAAATGAGCACCACAGTTGTGAAGCACACAGTAGTTACAGAGGTTCTGTGACAAATTCAGCAAGCGTACAAGCCCTTTACTCTTGGCAATGCACAGTGAGTTTAGACTAAGTGTCATGGAACTGGAGTGCAGGAGTCAGATGGGCCATGCATGCAGATGAAATTCAATTCCATTTTAAAAATCAAATATTCAAGATTATCTTTTTACTTCCATTCTAAACAACAACACTGCATTTATAATTGATGTTGGTCAAGTGCAGTGTAAAAATGTCGCACACCTGGTGTGTTTAGTTATCAGTGACAGCATTTCATAAGAGATAAAATGTCCACAAGCAACAGATCTGCAGGAGTAAAATACAACTGTAGTTAGCCAAGAGCATGAGCTCTAAACATACAAGTACGGGAGACAATGATCCAGATCATACAGCTTAGACCATCATTCAATCAAACACTCCCAGGACAGGTATAGCACAGAGTAATGCTTCCACTATACCACCCCCATCAAATACTCCCGGAACAGGAAGCAGCAGCACTGGACCCGAAACATTAATACTTGTTTTCTCTCCACAGGTGCTGCCAGACCTGAGTCTCTTCAGCAATTCCTGGTTTTGTTTCAGGTACAGTACAGGGTAAGGATTCAGAGTCAACTTTCCTCTACGCTTTTAAACTGAAAGTGAAGGTCCCTCAACACTGTCCCCACCAAATGCCCCTAGCATAGAGATAGATACAAGTGAAGCTCCCTCCACCCTTTTAAATTGATAGTAAAGCTTCCCTCCACGATGTCCCCATTAACAGCTCCCAGGACAGGGACAGCACAGGGTTAGACACAGTAAATCTTCCTCTACTCTTCTATACCGTAAGTAAAGCTCCCTCTTCAAAGTCTCCACCAAACATCCCCAGGACACGGACAGCACATGGTTAGATCGTGCAGAGCTTCCTCTACTTTCTTAAACTGAAAGTAAAGCTTTCTGAACATTGGTACAGCAAGGGGTTGGACAGAGTTAAACTCTCTCTATTCTTTTAAAGTGACAGTACAGCCCCTACTATTTATTTTAAACTGAAAGTAAAGCAGCCTCAAAGCTGACCCCATCACACATCCACAGACCAGGGACAGCATGGGGTAAGATACAGAGTAAAGTTCTCTCTGCACTGTCTCCATCAAACAGGGACAGCACAGGGTTAAATGGCAAGCAAAGCATCCTCTACTCTTAAGCTGAAATTAAAGCTCTGTCCACACTGTCCCCATCGAACACCCCCAAAGACTGGGACAGCACAAGGTTTAGATACACCGTAAAGCTGCTTCAACTCCTTTCATTTGAAACTCAAGCACCCTCGACACTGTTCCCATCAAATACTGCTAAAGTCAGGTACAATGGAAAGTGCCCTATACTCTTTTAAACTGAAAGTAAAACTGCCTTCACGCTGTCTATATCAAACACTCCCAGGACAGGGACAACACAGGGTTAAATATAGGGTAAAACTCCCTCTACACTTTTCATCTGCAAGTGAAGCTGCCTCTAAACTGTCCCCAAACACTCCCAGCACATGTGCTATTAGATACAGAGCAAAACTCTCTCTATGGTGCCTGTATCAAGTACTTAGAGGTCAGCTACAGCACAGTGCCTTTCACCACCAAACTCATCCCCCCAACAACCACTCTCACCCACCCCCATCCTCTTGCTACCACTGCAAAGAAACAATGTGGGTAACAGTTCCTAAACACATCCAAGCTGTTTGCATACACATCGGTGAAATGCTAAAGTAAAGTTTACATGGGAGCGTAGAGAACAAATAGAAACATGCAAAGCATATAGTCCTACCAGAGGATGGGGCAGTCAGTGCAGAGACACCGTAATAGGTAAAGGCTCCATTTTCAAACTTCAAACCCTCTTTGCCTATCTCCACCTCCACTCGCCCCTGTTTCCAAGAGCAGATTTACAACACATTATTATTGATTGGAACAAGAATGCAACAACACTTTCTATAACACAGCACAACACATCAAAGCAGATATGGCCAGGGGACACATCTGAAGAGTTAAAAAAAAAGACAGAAATATTGAAAAAGGTTTCACAGTGTTAACAAGTGAAAAGACTGCAATATTACTATCACGAGCAGTGTCACACAACAACCATGCTGAGTTACTGATGTTCAGCTACGTATCTTCGCCATAGAATTCATCAACAGTACAGCATCCCATAGCATGTTACAGACTACGAAATACAATTTGTAATATTTTGTCATGTCAGAACTGCTGCAGCCAGTTTGCACACAGCAAATTCCCACAAACAGCAGTAAGAACCAGATCACCTGTTTCTAAGTCATGTTGTTTAGGGTATAAATATTAGCCAGGACAGTGGGGAGAACAGCTTTGTTCTTCTTTGAAATAGTGCCATGGGATATAGGGAATAAGAGCAGGATTAGGCCATTTGGTCCCTCTAGTCCTTTCTAGGACAACCAAGGACCTATCAGGATTGTGTCTCCAGTCCACCTGCAATGAATGCTTCATGTGGAGGATGGCAGCCCCAACAATACTGAAGGACTGCACTTGTGCTTTTTGCACAAACACCTCTGCATAGAGTGGCGGCATGACTGGGTATTAAAGTGGGCAGACAGAAAGATAGAACATCCCACTTTACATTTTTGGTAAACTCTGCACAAAAGGAGTTGCCGTGCATTGTAAATATCAGAGCCTAAGTTTTCAGTGCAGAGTCCCTGAACCTCTGTTGCCCTTTGGCCCACGTGTTACTGGTCCCCTAAAGAACAGCAACATTTTCATTATTAAAGTCAACTTTACAGTTTTGTGCCAGCCCAACACCAAGCTTTTTCTCTCTCATGCTCCCAAACACAGTCACTGGTCCCTGACACCAGTTGACTCTTTGCTCCTCAAAAATACGTTCTTCCAAAGCTGCATATCTCCTTAGTCCTCAATCCCTCCGACTGATCACCCACTCTACTTACACCCACCCTGCCCTCTCTGCTAGTTCTGAGTGCCGCTACGTTATGCTCGGCACAGAATTAGCTATGATACAAGGCACAGAAATGAATTATTCGGCACAATCAATCCATTTCCAGTGACAATGCCCCAATCCCTTTCGCTTCTTTTTTGGCTGCACTTTGTGTGTTATGCACCAGTTAAATGGACACACATGCAAATTGGGGTTCAGGTTTAAACAGGATGTCCTTTCCTTTCCTCCTTCCTCCCACATCCTCACTGCCCTGCTGAACCCCATTTCAATATCATTCTTCCTCTGCACAAGCCTTTGCGAATGACGTCAGTGAGACTGCACGTGATGACATAGCATGTCTGGAATTGTGCACATGGACGTTTCTGGATTAACATGCATGGACAGTGCAGTTTTGTGTGCCATTAGACACTACTGCGTTTTCCATGGGATGTGCGGGTCACTGGCATCCCGATTATCCTTCAACTGACAGGTTTGCTTGGCCATTTCAGATGGTAGTTAGGAGCCAAACATGCGACTGTGGTTTGAAGTCACATGGAGACCAGACATGGCTGATGTCCTTCCATAAAAGGACATTAGAGAATTAGATGGGATTTCAACAATAATTTATCACAGTTGCATGATCACCATTACTGACAAAACCAGCTTTCTATTTCAGGTTTTATCAATTCACTGACTTTAAATGCCTGACAAGTGGGATTTGAATCTGTGATCCCAAAGTATTCACCTGGGCCTCTGGATCTCTCGACCAGTGATATTACTAGTACTTCACCATCCACTCCTCCTTGGGCCTCCACCCAGCTTTCCTCCTCTATTCTACTATAGCAACCCTCTAGACCCTTTGGTCTCAGCTACTTGTCTCATTTCCCTTGATGACTGGGGTAAACGCACATACCCAAGCAAAATTTCATGTCCAGGAGAAGCATCAGAATGAACACGTACCTGCAGCACCAGAATGAAGTAGTCAACTGGCTGATTCCGCTGGTACAGGTAATGTTCTGGGGCCATCTTGTGATTTTCGTTGAATTTCACCTCCTGGTTGACACTGGGATGCTTGAGCAGATGGAGAAGAACGCTCTCAGAGACCCGCGAGGGGCTGAACAACTCCACTTCTGCAAACACAACCTGCGGTCGTTATAGCAGTACAGCAGCAACCTTAAAACTAACATGCTCAGTTGTGCTGTGGTACCAGAGTGACAAACTTCGGATCAGCTAATAGTTAATGCAGCTAGGATTCTTCAACTGGGGACGGGGTGGGGGAAGAATGGCTTGAAGAGAACAAACTCACTGTTTTATAATCCCACATGAACAACTAAAGGCAGACTCTCGGCTGTTTCTACAGCAGCAAATAGCTCATTAATCACATTAGTGTTTAAATAGAAAATCACATTGGCATACAATCTGAATGACAACAAATGAACATTGTTGCTATTATTCAGCAGCACTGCATTAAAGTGGGAGCAAGATCAAGCAAGCCTGTAATACGAGAAATATAATTTCTGTAGTATGTACATAATTCATTCCCTGCCCCAGTTCCCACCTTCCTACAGCTCCCCCCACCTCCCCACGTGCATACATACACACACTAGACTGTACTACAAATTTCAGCACAGCATTGATCTCCCCAACCACTTTCGCCAGGCTAAAACTAAGAGCCTGTCAACTTAGTAGCTTACTCGCCCTTAAAACTCACGGTTCTCTCTCTTCAGAAAAACATTTCACATTATGAGGCACATTTTGGAGAGGAACCAAAGACACTTACCCTTTACCACCCCTCTCACAACCCAGCCTTTTCCCCAGCAGTAACTGTCTCCCTACCTCTGGATAAGAAGCGCTGAGTTGCTAGTAAAAGCTGGGGTGAAATCTTTCCCTTTAGATCGATATCAGGCACCTTAAAAAACGAGACTTCTTCCTTCTTGCGCTCAATAGAAGTGCTGATGGGAGCAGGCTTTTTCTTCACTTTGACCTGCGCTGTAGAAGGAACAGAAAATTGAAAAAACAACTGGAACTGATTGAGATTCTTTGAGCCATTTGTGATTTGCTCCCAATCCTCTGCTACCATCTCAGCAAATCAGCACAGGTCATTCCCATTTGAAACATCAATCATTCTTCACGTGAGATCCCAGCTTAAAAAAAAGCACTATCCATCATGAAGCTCACGTGCACCCTCCAGCAAAGGCCAGAAGATTAATCTCTGCGACTGTCGGATGATCGGCACTGAGTGTGTTCTGCACCATGAGAGATGCAATACTGAAGAAGCACTGCATCAGAGAGGGAGGACTGCCGGATCACTGTATCGTTGGAGAAGCACTACAGTTGGGAATGTAGAGCTGTTAAAGAGGGACAGTCTTTGTAGACAAGGGGCCTTTTCTCAGCTTTGATTTCTTGTGTCTTTACGGGCAGGAAATCAATATTAATGCACAAGAGTCACAATGCTGTATAACTGATTTCTGTGCCCTCCATCGAGGAGCCTGAAGCTAGGTGGCGCTTTCACAAAAGGCAGAACATTATTGAGCAGGTACAATGAGCAGTTACAAAGGCAAATGGCACTTTAGTCTTAATTGCAAATGGAACGGAATCAAGAAAGTCAGGCTACAAATGTACAGGGCTTTGATGAGACCACATCTGGAATTGTCGATCCAGTCCATATTTTAGGAAGGATAGACTTGCACTGAAATTGGTGCCGATGTTGTAACTGTCAACTGTCATTCAAAACCCACGTGGTTCACTCCTCCTTTAAGAAATTTGCTCGCAGTAACTAAAAGGTAAAGTTGCCACAATCCTACCATTAGAGACGCACAACTGGTTGTGATTTAACCCGAGGGTCACTGAGGTGAGGGGAGAGGTTGCGAAGGGGAGTCCTTCACAGGTAACTTCAGCCAATGCGGGAATTAACCCACGTTGTTGGCATCGCTCTCTATCGCAAACCAGCCAACTGAGATTTTTTTAAATTATTCATTTCGTGGGATGTGGGCGTCGCTGGCTGGCCAGCATTTCTTGCCCATCCCTAGTTGCCCTTGAGAAGGTGGTGGTGAGCTGCTTTCTTGAACCGCTGCATTCCTCCTGCTGTGGGTTGACCCACAATGCTATTTGGGAGGGAATTCCAGAATTTTGACCCAGCGACAGTGAAGGAACGGTAATATATTTTCAAGTCAGGATGGTGAGTGACTTGGAAAGGAACTTGGAGGTGGTGGTGTTCCCATATATCTGCTGCCCTTGTCCTTCTAGATGGAAATGGTCATGGGTTTGGAAGGTGCTGTCTGAGGATCTTTGGTGAATTTCCTCGAAGTCGGAGATAACTGACTCCCAGAGGTAATTAACAGAAGTGATAGGAGTAAAGTCTTTTTCACAAGCGGTCAGATTGGAATACACAACAGCAGAATGCAGGCTCAGTTGGGGTTTTCTAGAAGGAATGTGACTGCCATCTGTAAAGGAAGAATGTGCAGGATTACAGGGAGAAGACAGAGAATGACACAGAGATGCTTATTCAGAGAACCAGTACAGATAGTGGGCCAAATGGCCTACTGCTGCACCATTAAAAAGAAACCACACAAGCTTCAAGGCAGCGGCACACCCTCACTTTTTCAAGGGGAACAAGAGCTATAAATGCCTGTCTTGCTTGTAGCACCCATCTCCCTGGAATGAATTTGCACAAGAAAGTAGCAGAAGGAAATTGATCCACCCTCTGCTTTACAGGGTGTCCTCAGTGGTGAATCAGCATTAGTGTTGCAGTTTTAGGTGTAATGTAAGTCATATTAAACATGTATGTAACCTTGGTTAGACCACATAAGTTGTGTTTGGGCTAGTAAAAAAGAACTTGAGCGGCACCAAAGGGCAAGAAAAAAAGTATGCTAATAGTCCAAGAACTGAGAGGTCATACACATCAAGAAAAAGTGGACAGACTGGGGGCTCTCTGCTCTAAGGGGTGACCAAGTTCAAGATCATGGATAATTTTGATAGGACAGATACACATAAATTTCCAAGAGCAGGAAATACCAGAACCGGCAGCCATAAATTAATGATGGTCACTTATAAATCCAATAGGGAATTCAAGAGAAATGGTTGGACTGTGGAACACACAAACACAGTGGAAATTTGAGATCATCAGCAGAGATGCATTTAATGGGAAGGTAGATCAACAAGACAGAGAAATAAACAGAAGGATATGCTGAATGGGTGAAAGGAAGATGACAGGGAGGACATTTGTGTAGAGCATAAACATTGGCACAAAGTTGCTAAACAGAATGGTCAGTCCCTGTAATGAAATGCTGAATAATCCTATTGAGAAGGAGATTGGTAAGATCATCCCCAACTTCAAAAGCCATCACTTCGAAACTCCTATTGTTTCAACTTACTATTATCTGATTCGTCGAGGATCTCAGATTTGATTATTTCTTCGATGACATCCCCAAGGGTCACTAAACCGAGCACCTCGTAGAAGGGATCACCATCGCCTTCGTTGTTCACCTTCTGAACCATTGCCATATGAGATTTGCCTCAAAACAAAAACACGAACACTGCATTGTTATAACCACTGAACAGGGTTAGATAATAAAACACAACAACCAAGATTAACTTGGATTCAAGTCTTTTTCAGAGAGGTTTACTTTCCTTGCTGCTGTCTATCTCCCGCTCTGATAATCTGCAAATATGGAAAGGATGAGGGAGAGACTAGAACTAAGGAGTGTTGTTTACAAATTAGAGGTCTCCCGTTCCAGACAGAGGGGAAAACCCAGACAGCAGTAAAAGCAGGGTCATTGAATATTTTAAAGCTGATTCAGAACTGACAGGGGAGTCAAAGGTATTGGGGAGTAGGCAGGAAAGTGAAGTTGAGGCCACAATCACGTCAGCCAAATGTCTTTACACTTAGTTTCTTTATTCTTCAATGGGATGTGGGTATTGGTGGAAAGGCCAGCATTTGTTGCCCATCCCCAGATGTCCTTCACCCAAGTGGTTTACTTGGCTATTTCAGAGGGCTGTATAAAGTCAACCACATTGCTGTGCACCTGGAGTGGCATTCCCACTAATTTTCCTGCTGGCTGCTCAAGCCTCCAAGGCACACGCACAGCATTGACTTCTGGAATTGGAAGTCAATGCTGCATTTGGAATCTTTTTCACCGATCGCCGTGCTTAGAACACAAGCACAGCTGGCAGCTAGGAGGGAACACTATTCTGGAATCATACTGGCCAGACCGGGTAAGTGTGGAAAACGTCCTTCCCTAAAGGGCATTTAGTGATCCAGATGGGTTTTTACGACTATCAACAATAAGTTTTTATACCTTCACCAACACCAGTTTTATATACCAAATTAATTCACTGAATTCAAATTCTGTCAGCCTCTGGATTACTAACTCGGTGATATTACCACCACCTTCTCTTAGCTTGTTTTATTGAATGGTGGAGCGGGCTTGAAGAGTCAAAAGGCCTAGCCCTTTTAATTCACAAGTATGTAGGCAATCTTCATCACCACTGTAAATGCCTAGACCATCGCACGGAAACACTGAATTCTACAGCCTCAAAATGGGGCATTCAGGCCATGATGCTTGTGCAAGCTCTTGAAAAAAATGATTCTGTTCATCTCACTCATCTGGAGTTCCATCAATAAACTTGCAAAATTTAAGTTGCTTTTCTAGTAACTGTCTGCCTTTACAAAAGTAACAAATAAATCTGCTTCCACAACCTTCTTAGGCAGTCAATTCTAGATTATAACATCTCACTATATCCTCAATCCCAAGTCCAAGAAGTTAATTTTCAAATTACCCTTATCCAGACACTGTGTCACAAACCAGTTTGCTATGAAGTGTTTCTCGAAACTGTAGGTTTGATTCAAAATCTTGAAAGGTCCAGACAGATCAGGAGAAGGTGTTCCCACTTATGTAAGGATCAGCAAGGAGCAACACATATTTAAAGTGTTGCAAAGTGATATGAGGAAACATGTGTTCACACAGCAGGTGATTACAGCCTACAATGCAGGGCCCAAGAACAGGGTGGAGGTGGGTTCTGTTGAAGTATATTGAAAGGGAATTAAAATTAGACTGAATTTGAAAAAAGCGTGTGCATGATTATGGGGAGGAGGAAAAAATGTTAATCAGTGAATTGCACAAACAGAATGGTGTCTTTCTGTGCTGTGACAGTTCTGTGTTGCTTTTTGCACACCCTGATTGAGTGGTAGCCTCTTTTGCGCTAAGCCTTCAGCTGAAGTTGTTCAGTACCCCGCTGGGCATTTTATCCCTTTTTGATTTAACTTACTGGGTAAAGTCCTGAGCCAGGGAGGTGGGGGGTGCTTTGGTAACAGGATGCTTGTGCATTAAGCCAAAGGTGGAATGCAGCATCTGGCTGGCATTTCAGGCATTTGCTACAAAGAAAGTTTGAAGTTAATGTATCAGCAACCCATACTCAAGCTCCTAACAGGAGTCTGGGGATCCTGGCTAATCGGTCAGGAGAGGCAGAAGGGGACATAAAATCCTGGAAAAATGAACTGGGCATTCTCAAATAAAACAGTAGGTTTCACGATGGAAAGCGGGACCATAATTGTGCTTCTGCTCACAAATTCAAACAGGATACATTGAAATGATCCAGAAAGCAAATGAGAGGCCCCTCTACATCTTAAAGTAGAAGCCATCAACAATAATTAGCCACACCAAGATCTGACATTGATATAAATGTTTTTAGATTGAGAAATGTTTTACAAATTCCCCACCTAATTCAAGCAACAGTTCATTACCTGAAGGCTGCCTGCTAACTCTTACTCATGAATAGGCATTATTAAATATAAATCATCTCTCAAGATAATCACTATAAAACTACTTCAGCCCTACTGAACCTCTACAGTGGATCTTGTAGAATAGGTATCAGTAGTTGACTGTGTCCTTAGCTGGGACCTAGCCCCCTTGTGACGAAGCAGGATAAGGCAATTTGTGTCAATGAGTGCTGACAGACAAACAGCAAAGTGTTAACAACTGCCACCAAACCTTTTGAGTTATCGAGATTCGTGGCTTCAGGTCAACCACTAGAATAGGCATCACTGAGCCTATCAGGTGGAGGCCATTCGACCCACCGTGGTCTTTCAAAGGACTTTCTCCACGCGCCACCTGATATACATTTTAAAGTTACCACTGAATCTGCCAACATCACCCTTTCAGGTCCTGCATTCCAAAGAAACTCTTGTGCTGCCTTTGGTTCTTTTGAAACTGAAATTTTGCACACTCTGGTTACTGACCCTCCAATTACTGGAAACATTTTCTCCCGGTTTTGTCAAAAATCACTTACAATTTGGAAAAACATCAATCGACTCTCCTTCTCCCTGGGACAAGAATAATTGCAGCTCCTGCCCTTAAATTGGATTCATAAGGTGTAGAAGCAGAATAGTCCGTTCAGCCCATCAAATCTGCTGCTATTCGATGAGATCATGGCTGATCGAATAATCCTCAACTCCACTTTTCTGCCTTCTCCCCATGTCTTTTGATTCCCTTAAATATTAGAAACATGTCTGTCTCAGAATTTAAATGCAAATAAAGCTAGTCTCAGTGATTGCAACTCTGACAATTGTTGTCAATTCACGTAAAGATGGCAGATGGGTTTTTACCCGATCTGGCTTATATGACTCTGATCCACAGCAATGTGGTTGACTCTGAACTGCCCTCTGAACTGGTCAGGCAATCAACTCAGTTCAAGGGAAATCAGGGATGGTCAGCAAATACCCACATCACGTAAAAGAGTGAAAAAAGGCCTCTTCTTCCTTCAGTAATCCATCCAGAATATTCAACACAATATCTCTCCCTGTCCTACTCTAAGGCTCTATTTCTAAAACTGATGTTTTTGTTATGTTTTTGTTTTAAACACAACCGTGTCAACTTGCCTAACTGCAGTTCGAGAATTGTGTAGGTGATCCAACAACTGAACTACAGCACCTGCATAGATTGTTAAATAGGACCAGAGAAGAAAGAACCTGGGAGAGAAACAAAGTTGAAACATACAATAAAACATTCTGTGGTGCCTCTCTAGCAAGGCCCCTGGATTACAGTGGGAGAAAAAAAAATGGTGTGTGAAGATCTCCAGGCAGATCAAAAAAGTTCAGGTCACCACGAGCACACCTTGTTCAAAAGCCCTTCAGAAAGCATTGTGCAAATTAATGTTTCCTTTTGTATGGTGGAATAGATTCCACCAGTGATAAACAATCACCTTTCTTAAACTCTTCCAGGACAGCATCCAACTTGGTGTCGTTGAACACAAAATGCAGGGGGTGGTTGTAGAATTTGATGATGGTGTTCAAAGGAGTACAGTCCTCAGGGTCGACCATGGCCAAGTCTTTCACGTAGACAATGTCCACAATGTTGGATCTCTCCCCCTCATAGACTGGGATCCTGGTGTAGCCACACTGCATGATTTCAGACATGGTGTTGAAGTCCAGCACAGCTTCAGCGCTGAGCATGAAACAGTCCTTCAGGCCGGTCATGATGTCCTCCACCACTTTGGTCCTCAGCGTACCACGGCTGAACTCCTCCTTGACGAACTCGCTGTACGGGTCGGTGAAGCGCAACATGTCCAGGATCTTCTCACGGACATAGCAGGTGCTGACGTCCTGGCGCAGGGCGCAGTCCAGTAGCAGGGCGACGGGAAGGGCCAGTGGCGACGCCAGTACCACGAGCAGGTGGGTCAGCCAGGTGGCACGGGAGGCCACGGTGAAGCCGTACCGCGAGCAGATGGCATAGGGCACCACCTCACCCAGGAGGAAGAGCAGGCCGGCACAGGCCAGCACGGCTGGCAGGACAGTGCCCACTGCATGGTGGAGCAGCACTGCCAGGCACGAGCTGGCCAGCACGTTGCCCAGCACCAGGGAGCAGAGCACCAGGTTGCCCCGCCGCCTCAGGGGCTCCAGCGACTCGGCTCGCCGCTTCTCCGCCTCGGTGCCGCAGTGGCGGATGATGTGCAGCTCCAGGGGCTCCAGCCACAGCACGCTGAGGCGCAGCAGGTTGATAAGGGCCGAGGCAAGCAGCAGGACGGCCAGCGCCAGCACCTGGCCCCACACTGAGAGCGGGGACGGCGGAAGCCGGATGTCCAAGGGGGTCTCCCAGCCTCCAGGGGGCTGCCACAGGCCCCTCTCCCGGTGCACCAGGGCGCACAGGTAGTAACGGCCCCCCCGGAGGCCGGCCCGGACGCTCACCAGCACCGAGCCGTCCGTCTGGTTATCCCCCAGGCCCAGCCAGGCCGTCTCCAGGCTGCCGCTGCCGCACTCGGGCTCGGGGCTGTAGGCCAACCAGGGCCAGCTCTCGGCCATCAAGCGCCGGCCGAACACCCTCAGCTGGAAACGGGCCCCAGCGCCGGCTTCGATAGCGCCACCCGCCATCCGCACCGGGCCTCCGCCTTCGCCACTAGTGCCGCTGTTGCTGCTGCCGCCACTCTCCAGCCGGACCCCCCGCACCTCGATCTCGCCCCCGTCCGGCTGCCCGGACGCCAGGGCCCACAGGGCGGCCAGCGCCAAGCGCAGACTCCCGTCGACCGCCGCCATATTCACGGGAAGGTGGGCAAACGGGAGGGGGTGGGCTTCACCTTGAGCCCGCCCCTTTTCGGTGGACAACCTAACTCGCTCGTTGACCACGCTGACCAATCGCCGACCGCTGCCGCTGATTGATACCCTCTCTGTACAATTGTCGGCCGAAGTCGCCCGATTGACAGCTTCAACCGCTCCATCCTGGTGCGCTCCTGTTGACCGACAGTCGCCCCATCCAATCGAGACCCGAAGAACCGACTGACTGGCGTCAACCCCAACCACTAATCGTGCTATGCTCCCCGCCCAACGTCCCACACTGGCCAATCATAGTCGGAAGGAGGCGGGGAGACCACCTTCGCTCAAGGTCGGATGAGTGTGCAGGGTAAACAACACCCAACGCAGTGATTCTTAAAGGGGGAAAGTCACCAGAATCCTCACCACAAATATGACACACCTCCCCGCCATACTAAAAATAAAAGCTGCATTACAGAAGGATTCTGCTTTTTTATTGCAAAAGGTCCCACCCTCAAACATTTTCCAACTGGATACAGAAAGCTTGTGTCGAATTGGAAAAGGGATTTTACTTCATTTGAAGAGACAAGGCTAGAGCAGCAGAATTAGCCCATTCAACCCATCAAGTCTGCTCTACCTTTCCGTCATGGCTGATGTGTTTCTCATCCCCATTCATGTACCTCCTCCAACTCTTGATCCTCTTAAATACACACACTGACTTGGCCTCTACAGCCATGAGTTTCACAGATTCACCATGCCCTGGCTGGAGATTCTTCCTCATCTCAGTTCTAAAGGGTCATCCCTTCATCAGAGGCTGTGCTCTTATGTACAATTCTCTCCTACTTGTGAAAACACCTTCTCCACTTCTATCCAGACCTCTCAGTATTCTGTTTCAATCTGATGCACCCACCATCCTTCTGAACTCCATTGAGTACAGAACTGGAGCTGGAGCTGGAGCTGGATGAACTTCGGATCATTCGGGAGGCTGAGAGGGTAATTGAGAGGAGTTACGGAGAGGTAGTCACACCTCAGGTACAGGAAAAAAGTAGATGGGTTACAGTCAGGGGACGGAAAGGGAACAGGCAGACAGTGCAGGGATCCCCTGTGGCCATTCCCCTCAAAAACAAGTATACCGTTTTAGATACTGTTGGCGGGGACGACTTACCAGGGGTAAGCCATGGGGTACAGATCTCTGGCACAGAGGCTGTCCCTGTTGCTCAGAAGGGAAGGGGGGAGAGGAGGAGAGCATTAATCATTGGGGACTCCATAGTTAGGGGGACAGATAGGAGATTCTGTGGGAACGAGAGAGACTCGCAGTTGGTGTGTTGCCTCCCAGGTGCCAGGGTCCGTGATGTCTCGGATCGTGTTTTCGGGATCCTTAAGGGGGAGGGGGAGCAGCCCCAAGTCGTGGTCCACATAGGCACCAACGACATAGGTAGGAAAAGGGATGGGGACATAAGGCAGAAATTCAAGGAGCTAGGGTGGAAGCTTAGAGCTAGAACAAACAGAGTTGTTATCTCTGGTTTGTTACCCGTGCCAAGTGCTAGCGGGGTGAGGAATAGGGAGAGAGAGCAGTTGAACACGTGGCTACAGGGACGGTGCAGGTGGGAGGGATTCAGATACCTGGATAATTGGGGCTCATTCTGGGGTAGGTGGGACCTCTACAAACGGGATGGTCTACACCTGAACCAGAGGGGTACCAATATCCTGGGGGGGAAATTTGCTAATGCTCTTCGGGAGGGTTTAAACTAATTCAACAGGGGGGTGGGAACCTGAATTGTAGCTCCAGTGTACAGGCGGTTGAGAGTAGTGAGGTCATAAATAAGGTTTCAACCCTATCGCAGGAGTGTACCAGCAGGCAGGAAGGTGGTTTGAAGTGTGTCTACTTCAATGCCAGGAGCATCCGGAATAAGGTGGGTGAACTTGCAGCATGGGTTGGTACCTGGGACTTCGATGTTGTGGCCATTTCGGAGACATGGATAGAGCAGGGACAGGAATGGTTGTTGCAGGTTCCGGGGTTTAGATGTTTCAGTAAGATCAGGGAAGGTGGTAAAAGAGGGGGAGGTGTGGCATTGTTAGTCAAGGACAGTATTACGGTGGCAGAAAGGACGTTTGATGACAACTCGTCTACTGACGTAGCATGGGCTGAGGTTAGAACCAGGAAAGGAGAGGTCACCCTGTTGGGAGTTTTCTATAGGCCTCCGAAAAGTTCCAGAGATGTAGAGGAAAAGATTGCAAAGATGATTCTGGATAGGAGCGAAAGTAACAGGGTAGTTGTTATGGGGGACTTTAACTTTCCAAATATTGACTGGAAACGCTATAGTTCGAGTACTTCAGATGGGTCAGTTTTTGTCCAATGTGTGCAGGAGGGTTTCCTGACACAGTATGTAGATAGGCCAACAAGAGGCGAGGCCACATTGGATTTGGTACTGGGTAATGAACCAGGCCAGGTGTTAGATTTGGAGGTAGGAGAGCACTTTGGTGATAGTGACCACAATTCGGTTACGTTTACTTTAGCGATGGAAAGGGATCGGTATATAAAGCAGGGCAAGAGTTATAGCTGGGGGAAAGGCAATTATGAGGCGATGAGGCAAGATTTAGGATGCATAGGATGGAGAAGGAAACTGCAGGGGCTGGGCACAATTGAAATGTGGAGCTTGTTCAAGGAACAGCTACTGCATGTCCTTGAGAAGTATGTACCTGTCAGGCAGGGAGGAAGTGGTCGAGCGAGGGAACCGTGGTTTACTAAAGAAGTTGAATCTCTTGTCAAGACGAAGAGGGAGGCTTATGTAGAGATGAGGCGTGAAGGCTCAGTGAGGGCGCTTGAGAGTTACAAGTTAGCCAGGAAGGACCTAAAGAGAGAGCTAAGAAGAGCCAGGAGGGGACATGAGAAGTCTTTAGCAGGTAGGATCAAGGAAAACCCTAAAGCTTTCTATAGGTATGTCAGGAATAAAAGAATGACTAGAGTAAGATTGGGGCCGGTCAAGGACAATAGTGGGAAGTTGTGCGTGGAGTCCAAAGAGATAGGAGAGGTGCTAAATGAATATTTTTCGTCAGTATTCACGCAGGAAAAAGACAATGTAGTCGAGGAGAATACTGAGATACAGTCTATTAGACTAGACGGGATTGAGGTTCATAAGGAGGAGGTGTTAGCAATTCTGGAAGGTGTGAAAATAGATAAGTCCCCTGGGCCGGATGGGATTTATCCTAGGATTCTCTGGGAAGCTAGAGAGGAGATTGCAGAGCCTTTGGCTTTGATCTTTATGTCGTCATTGTCTTCAGGAATAGTGCCAGAAGACTGGAGACTAGCAAATGTTGTCCCCTTGTTCAAGAAGGGGAGTAGAGACAACCCTGGTAATTATAGACCAGTGAGCCTTACTTCGGTTGTGGGTAAAGTGTTGGAAAGGATTATAAGAGATAGGATTTATAATCATCTAGAAAGGAATAATTTGATTAGGGATAGTCAACACGGTTTTGTGAAGGGTAGGTCGTGCCTCACAAACCTTATTGAGTTCTTCGAGAAGGTGACCAAACAGGTGGATGAGGGTAAAGCGGTTGATGTGGTGTATTTGGATTTCAGTAAAGCGTTTGATAAGGTTCCCCATGGTAGGCTATTGCAGAAAATACGGAGGCATGGGATTGAGGGTGATTTAGCGGTTTGGATCAGAAATTGGCTAGCTGTAAGAAGACAGAGGGTGGTGGTTGATGGGAAATGTTCATCCTGGAGTTCAGTTACTAGTGGTGTACCTCAAGGATCTGTTTTGGGGCCACTGCTGTTTGTCATTTTTATAAATGACCTGGATGAGGGCGTAGAAGGATGGGTTAGTAAATTTGCGGATGACACCAAAGTCGGTGGAGTTGTGGATAGTGCGGAAGGATGTTGCAGGTTACAGAGGGACATAGATAAGCTGCAGAGCTGGGCTGAGAGGTGGCAAATGGAGTTTAATGCAGAAAAGTGTGAGGTGATTCACTTTGGAAGGAGTAACAGGAATACAGAGTACTGGGCTAATGGTAAGATTCTTGGTAGTGTGGATGAGCAGAAAGATCTCGGTGTCCATGTGCATAGATCACTGAAAGTTGCCACCCAGGTTGATAGCGTTGTTAAGAAGGCGTACAGTATGTTAGGTTTTATTGGTAGAGGGATTGAGTTTCGGAGCCATGAGGTCATGTTGCAGCTGTACAAAACTCTGGTGCGGCCGCACTTGGAGTATTGCGTACAGTTCTGGTCACCGCATATAGGAAGGATGTGGAAGCATTGGAAAGGGTGCAGAGGAGATTTACCAGGATGTTGCCTGGTATGGAGGGAAGGTCTTATGAGGAAAGGCGGAGGGTTTTGAGGCTGTTTTCGTTAGAGAGAAGAAGGTTAAGAGGTGACTTGATAGAGACATACAAGATGATCAGAGTATTAGACAGGGTGGACAGTGGGAGCCTTTTTCCTCGGATGGTGATGGCTAGCACGAGGGGACATAGCTTTAAATTGAGGGGTGATAGATATAAGACAGATGTCAGAGGTAGGTTCTTTACTCAGAGAGTAGTAAGGGCGTGGAATGCCCTGCCTGCAAAAATAGTAGACTCGCCCACTTTAAGGGCATTTAAATGGTCATTGGATAAACATATGGATGATAATGGAATAGTTTAGGTTAGATGGGCTTCAGATTGGTTTCACAGGTCGGCGCAACATCGAGGGCCGAAGGGCCTGTACTGCGCTGTAATGTTCTATGTCCTCAACTGCTCCTCAACATGACAAGCCCTCCATCCTCAGGATCAGTCTTGTAATCCTCTGCGTCCCCTCGAAGGGCAGCATATCCTTCCTTCAGTACAGGGCCCAAAACTGGTCACACTATTCCAAGTGCAGTCTAACCAAAGCCTTATACAGCAGTACATCCCCAGCCTTCTATTCTCACTCTCTCAGACTGAATGCTAACGCTAATGCTGCATTAGCCTTCCTAACTGCCAACTAAACCTGTATGTTAACCTTAAGAGAATCCTGAATTAGCACTCCCAAGTCCCTTTATGCTTCAGTTTTCTGAAGCCTTTCCTCATTTCGAAAATAGGGAGGAACAAG